GCCTATGTTCGTTTTTTGGAGAGGTTTTTGCTATAGGGCGCATGCGCTCGCCAGAAAGACAAAGAGGGGCAGAGAGATAGAAAGTGAGAAATCATCCCCCAGGGGGGATGGCCACACCGTAATCCCTTCTCCTCCATTCTCTTCTTAGGATCTTGGGCACACGTGCACACGGGCCCGGCTTGAGTTTAAGTCACCGGGTCCAGGACTCAAATTGTGTGCGCCTCCAGGGGATCCCAGCCACATAGCCATTAACTAACTGCTGGTCCTTCCCTTTATGTTCTTAACAATATTTAGCAAATTGTATTAACCTTTAAGAAACTCACTTTCATTTATTAATACATTCAACAAAAAAGTTTCTAAGCTTTTCTTTTCTTTTTTTTTTTCTTCCTTTCTTCTATGAGCAAGACAGAGGAAGAAAAACAGTCAGACAGCACCCCTAACAGAGTCTTCATGCTGTGGTTCATCCCCAGCTTCAGCCATCCCTAAATCAGGGGCATGTATACTCTTGCTGTGTGCGGGGAGGTCTCTGGACTTGAACCTGGAACCTTCCCATCTGGTTCAGTCTTAAAGACTGGCTTTACTGTGCTACTGTCCAGCCCCTCAGTAAAATTTCAATGAGTACCTACTATTTGCCAGGCACAGTACATTAAACAGGCAAATTCTCGTATTCCCGTGTAGTTTGTGTCCTGTTGTGTTTTCCCAGGGAACAGTGATTCACACAAGAGATGACTAGAAATCACAGTTTGCCATTAGCTTGCGTCCAGTGAGCTAGTTTATCGCTGAACTGTTTTTTCAAGAAGTACGTTACACCATTAGTTCAGTTTTAAGGGGGAAATGTTCTAAACAAATATACTTTACATCGGTTTAGATATTGCTAAATCTAGCTTCAGAAAATCAGCCCTGAACACAATCTTCCAAACACCTCTACCAAGATCCTCAGAGCAATTTGGCTTTTCCAGTCAAAGTTTCAATCCAGTAACAATGTCCAGTGTTTTAAAGAGAGCCAAATAATCCCAGCACTAGTTCTAAGCATCAATTTCACTTTGAATAAGTCTAGGGATCATGTAATTGTTTTTGTACTACCATTGGTGCTCAGTTGTGGGCCTGAGCATTCACTTGTGCGCCGTCCGGATCCTATAAACACTCCAAGTGAAATATTTATTTAATTTAATGGGCCTCTTCTTCCTTTTTTTTTTTTTTTTAATTATTGCCGGAGGGTACATGCATGAGAGAGAGAAAGAGAGAGAGACTTCCCTAATAGGACGTAGTTACACTGTAATCCTTTTCCTCCTTTTTTCCACCCCATTAGGATTTGGGTCATGCACACACATGTGGGGCTGGGATTCAAACTGCGGTCAGCCATGTGAGATATGATTACCTATACATAGCACTTAACTGCTGCACTATGGGGTTGACCAATGAGCCTTTTTAAAGAATAAGATGCATCTTATAGCTAGAGTGCAGAAACTCAATGCTCCTTTCCCTCACCATCAATCAGCATTTCAATGGTCGTTTATTGACCAATGCAGGCTTTGTACAAAGGGCCTTCAAAAAGTTCATAGAAAACGTGTATTATAAAAACCTATGCATGGGTTTCCTTTTTTTTGTTTGTTTATCGAAATAAACTTATACCTTAATTCCACTTTTATCATGAACTTCGTAAGTCCCCTCACATGTCCTGTAAACTGATGCACTATTACAAGGAATGAGGCCATTTGGTTAGCACTTACTATGTGCCAGCCATTGGCCTAGATGCTTAAAATACCTTGTCTTATTTAAAAACTACCAATGAAGCAAATTGTTTTACAGATAAAAAGTTACAAGCTTAGAGAGTTAAGTAACTTTCCCAAGGTCAGGCAACTAGTAAATGAAAAGTGGAATTAAAACCAGGTTGTCTGATACCCAAGTCCAGTATGGTTAACAATAGGGTCTTCCATCCGCATAGGCTACCTGGGAAGATCAGGCAAATGCACGTGATTTAAAGAACTAATGAACTAAATAACACTTTACTGTTTACTGTTTCTAAGTCCAAAAAGACATCGGAGTAAAAAAGAGCATTTGGCTGAAGTCAGAAAAACTAGTTCCTGAGCTGGCAGATTACATTCCACTCAGAAAACACTTATTGAACATTTGTTTGAATAGTTGATACTATCAGAGATACAAGTTGGAACAAAATATGTCCCTTCTCTGGAAGTTTTCTTTTAACTCCTTGAGGAAGAAAGCCAAGTATACAGATACTCATGACACGAGGTAGAATGTGGCAAGCGCTAGATTGCTACAGACCTTGGAGAGAGGACTTTTAACTCAGAATTAGGGGGAAACTCTTGAGTCCTGGCATTTGAGTTGGAGCCTGAAACAAACATGAAGCATGTAAGGAGTCGGAGAGGTAGGAAACAATGCAAGCTGAGCCAGCAAAGGCAGGGCAGCACAGGGCGCATTCGAGGCAAGGCATGCAGACCAGTTTGGCCAGAATATAAACTGTGCAGTCTAGAGGAGAGAAAGATAAGGCTGAACATGTGGGTGGAGCCCAAATGTGGAAATCTTCGAATGCTAATCCGAGTGCAAAAGCCATTCTCTACCATGAGACACCTCCTGTAAATCTTTTAACAGATAGTGGCAAGGATGAACAGCAAGAAGAAGGATGGACAGTTGTGGAAATATCTGGAGCACGTGTGTGGGGTTGGGAGAGAGAAGAGCTGGGCCATGATAGAGTTGGTGAGGGCTGAGAGAAAAACAGGAAGAAAGGGGAGTGCATGAGAACTGGCAAAGGAAGAAGTCATCGAAGAGCTTACCAGGGATGGCCTAAGGAGCCACTGTGCCCCAGGCCCAGGGAGGTCAGGAAAATAAGATGTACCCTCAGTAGATCAAAGTTTAATTGGGAAAAGAAACACAGATAAAGAGAAAATTGCAGTGTAACGTGGAAATGAGAGTGTTAGGTAAGAGCTGGCGGATAGGAGAGGGAGTGCACACTTGCCATGAGGTTCAAGTAAGATTGCATAACTCATTTGTAAGCCATTTACATAGAAATCATGGCGATTGATATTCTGGTGGTGCTGGGTTTGGAGTACAGGATCTCTCAAGGTGTGACCCATAGGATTGGCAATCTTTTTATTGCATTTTTCATAAATACCTAGTACAGCACTATATTGTTTAAAAGGTGGGATCACAATATGTACTTCTGGAAATTAACTATAACAATCTAACTACTCATTCATTCAACAAATAGTTATTGAGGGGCTACAACTGGCCTTGAGATAGATATTAAAAAACAAAACAAGGGACCAGCAGTTAGCATAATGGCTACATCGCTGGACTCCCATGTAGTCGACCGTGGTTCAAGTCCTGGACCCGGTGGCTTATACTCAGGGAGGGCACGTGTGCGTGTGCACTCAAGATCCTGAGAGGAGAGTGGAGGAGAAGGGATTGCAGTGTGGCCATCCCGCCTTGGGGTTAATTTCTCACTTTCTGTCTCTCTGTCTCTCTGCCTTTCTGGAGAGCGCAAGCACCCTATAGCAAAAACCTCTCAAAACAAACAAACAAACAAAACCAACCATGGGACTTGGTCCCACTCAAAAAGACTTTGCAGTTGAGTTGACAATGCATAAGAAATGGTGAATGCTTCTTTGTACCAAAGTCCTTCACAGTGTCTTGGATTTGCAAAAACCTTAATTTATTCACTGGGCAGATAGAACAATAATTGCCTACATTTCAATAGCATTCTACCACTGAAAAAGTTTTATTAATTTATTCACTGGGCAGATAGAACAATAACTGCCTACATTTTAATGGCATTCTACTACTGAAAAAGTTTTGTTTTGGTTTGGTTTTATGGAGAGATTTTTCCTATAGGATGCGAGCAATGCTGGAGAGACAGAGAAAGAGAAAGTGAGAAATCACCCGCATGCCAGGGGAATGGCGTGCTGCAGTATCTTCTCCAGCATTCTCGTCTTGGGATTTGGGGCACACAGTGCAGGCAAAGGTACCTGGCGTGAGTTGAAAGCCACCCTATCTAGGACTCAGATTGCCATGGGCCATGTGAGAGTCCAGTGGCAGGTGAAGACTTTCCACAAAACTGTAAAGAGGGGACTGCTAGCTCTGCTTTTAAATACCAGGACCAGCAGGTGATGTGGTGGTCAAGGGTCTGGACTCCCAGTGGCCTGACCATGGTTTGAGTCCCGGACCTAGCAGCTTACTTTCTCATTTTTTCTCTCTATAGCAAATTAAAAATAATAATAATTATTAAAATTAAATAAATATATATATTTTAAAGTATAATCACCTTACCCAGAGTACTAGTGAAACCACAGAGTCTGGCCCTGGTCTTCCTAGTGCCCTCCCTATCACAGTCCCACAATCCAGGGCTTCTAGGTTGCTGAGTGACCCTAGCAACTGTGCTGGACTGGACTTAGGCATGCAAGAGGTGGACACGGGCTTTGGCGCGTACGCAGCCCTCTGGGGGATTCTGTCCAGCTAACTAGCCCTGGGAGAGGATCTACTGGAAAAATGCATCAGCGAGTCAATGAAGTGGTTATCGGTGAGCTGAGTCATCACGATTTTGAGCTACCTGAGTTAACAGGCCACCCTCTTCCCCCAGGGTTGCTCACAGGTAGAAGTAGGCTCTGGGGAGGGCTTGGAAAGGCGCAGAAGTCCTGGGGAAAAGAGCCCAGTACGGAAACAAGTTTCCTTTCCTTCTCAAATCAAAGGTCCGCTAACAAAACCAAGCTCTTGGTGGTCTTAGTGGCCCCATCTCCAACTCTCCCCTCCTCTGCTTTCTTCCCTCCCGAGGTCTGCCTGAGGGAGGCGTTCACTTGCTCCTGTAGCCTCGGGTGGTGGACAGAAGTGAGGAGAGGCTGGCAGAGCCGACCTGAGGGAGAGACCCTGCAGCAGAGCCGAGGGGGCGTGGTATCAGTCTATGGGCGGAGCTCCAGGCCGGGAGAGGTGCTGTGGGGGCGGAGCGCCGGTAGGCGGCGGCCGTTGCCGGGCTACCAGGGAGCGCGCAGCCTGTTGCGCCTGGAGGCTCTGAGTGTGCAAGTCAGGAGAGGACCCCCTTTTCCCCCAACCCAGCTCGGCTCTGGTACTCCGGAGCCAAGGACTCAGACACGGATCTGCAGGACAGGGCGAGGCGCGCCGGCTGGCGGAGGTTCCAGGTGACTGGGAAGGTAGGTGCCGGCTCCCCCTGGAGCGGAGTCGCTCCCGGGTCCCCAGCCCTCGCCCCCGGTGGTTCCCGGCTGTATGAATCCAGAAATGGGGCATGAGCAGGGGCTGCAAAAGACAGGAGCTCGCGGAATGAGCCGGGCGAAGGAATCCCCGGAAAGGAATGACAACTAGGGGGCGACCGGGGAGGAGGCACCCAGGATGCGGAACTTCGGCACCACGCGGAGAACTGGAGCCTGTGAACGCCTCCTGGCAGTGGTTGGCGATGAGAATGACAGGACTTAGACTTTGCGTTCAGGGATCTTGTAAGTAGAAAATCTGCTTCTGACCCAAACAGATGTAGGTATATAAAGGAAATCTGCGTTGGTTTAACCCGGCCTTACACGATTGCCCTGAGTCCCTGCCCTGGGCCCCTCCAACCCAGACGCGTCCGGAGCAGCAGAACCCGGGACCATGCAGCTGGGCGCGCACTGCAGAAATGTAGCCCAAGAGGGAAAAGAGAACCTTTAGATCTACAAGTAGCCCAGAATCATACTCCTTCAGTGGAAAAGAATCTTGTTTTAAATGTCCGCAGTATTTATCGACACAGTGATGAGCAGAGCGTGTAATCAATTTAAAAGAACGCCAGCTCTCACAGCCCTTGCCAATGTTCTGATACCCATTTAATGGAACAGAAGTCTAACTGATACACTCTTGGAGACCAAAGTTGGCGGGACCCAAATTCTAAAACCGAAATACTATGATCTATTTTGATGGCAGTGCACTATAAAGCTTACATTTGCTATTATGAGAAATGCATGTCACTTTTCTTGTGCGTTGTAAAGGACTCAATTTGCAAAGAAAACCATCAGCATTGTTCGACCTCTCTTCGCTTGCTACAGTTTAACTCAGTGTATTTATGGAGAAGCAGTTTTTACCTCATGTCTTTGACTACCAGACCATTTATTTTAAAACAGGAAAACGAATTGCCAAACATGACTTACATAAACAGAAGAATTTGTTTAAGTATTGTTATTTCATGATCAGATACTTAAATGCAAAAGGGAAGATTATATTGCACTAGTTAAGGATTTACTCCTATGTTTTCTGTGGCACATTTCCACTTTAGCCGATTCTGCCAACGCTGCTTTCATGTAGTTTTAAAATATATTTTATTTTCAGTGCAGTTTATTATCTAATTTTAAGATACATCATGGGGGGTGAGAATTGAGAACTAGTGTGGAAGACAGTTTTTGACATTATATTATTCACAGATATGTGGGTACTTAAAAACAATTATCTTTGCATAATACAGGGGACCTTCAAAGAGCTCATGGAAAAAGCATATTCTCAAAAAAAAATCATGTATGGATTTCAAAAATGTTTTGCACTGAAATAAATGTGTACTTTAATTCCATTTTCCATCAACTTTTTAAAGTTTCTTTTTGTGTGTTTATCAAGTTGTTCTGAAAGTACTACAGAATATAGAAATGCATTTCTTTTTTGAAAATAATCACCTTAACATCAGTTCATAGAGCATTACCATGAGCTTTGTAAGATCTTTACTTTTACCTTTATGGAAATGTCTTAAAACACCAACTTGTGTTACCGAGGCCGCATGGCTTTATTGACTTTGTAAATTTCCCCCTCCTATAGTAAGTGCTAACTCTGGCGTGTGCTGTTACTGTCTTCTAGGACAGCAATGGAAGTTATTTGTTTCTTTGGTGGTAGTGTCTGATAACTCCGGCTCTACGCTAGATCTTGAATTTGAAGTTAAGGGTACATAAAGACTCTCAGACACTTGAAATTGCAGCACCAAGTGACTTTCCTACCCCCAAGACTGCTAACATTTAAGTAGACATGAAATAAGCTTTCGAAGGTTAGAAAATTAATTTTTTGCTTCAGATGATTATGGGCTTTAATTTACATAGATTTTAGAGTAGAAGATGAATTGAGACACATAATATCACATGTTGTCCTCATGCTAGTTACAGCTCTGTTATTTGAATTTAGGGCATATTGGAGACTTTTAAAATGTAGGCGAGGAGTTCTGCTAACGCTCCTAAAGAGAATTTGAGTTTTGCTTTTCACTTGTTTCATCTCCGAACCCACACTTAACACATTCCTCTGTGACCAGTTCCTTTCCTCAAAATTTAGCACAACACAAACAAAAAACTCCAGGCTTCTTTAATGTAAAAAAAAAAAAAAAGACCAGTTCTTTCAAATTTGTTGAATCAATTTTTAAAGTCAAGCATTAAAGATTCTGGAAAAGGGGGCCAGCAGATGGCATAGAGGTTACGTCCCTGGATTCCCACCAGACCGACTGTGCTTTGAGACCCAGACTGGTGACTTGAAACTCAGGCCAGGCACGTGTGTGCGCGCGCGTGCCCAAGGCCCAGGGAGGAGAATGGAGAAGAGATTGCAGTGCGTCCAACCCCCTGGGAGGTGATTTTCTCACTACTTTCCTTCTCACTGTCTCTGTCTCTCTCCTTAGCAAGCACACATACCCCTAAGGCAAAACGTCTACCAAAAAAAAAAGAAAAAGAAGAGAAATAAAGAAAAGAAATTCTGGAAAAGACTAAGAAACCCAGGTTCTATGTGGGTTACTACAGGTGGAATGAGAATGCCCACCTTTAATAAATATTCACCCCAAATAAATGAATCCACAACTGCCCACATGATAAGAGAACCATGGAACAGTTAAACAGTTAAATACATCATTCTGTGGCAGCTGATTATTAAATGTTTATAGGCTTTTTTAAAGTACTCTTCTAACTGAAGAAAAAGAAAAGTAAAGCGGTATGAACAGAAATTCTTTTCATGATTTACTGGTTAAGCAGTGCGTTCATTCATCGTATTTTATCTGTCTAAAATGTTTACATTTAAAAGTAAGATGTTTAAACAGTATTGGGTTATCTTTCAGTCCACACATCACGTGACATGTGCCTTTTAAACTGAAGTTTTAAAACCTAGGTTTAAAAAGAGAGCAAGCACCCATCAGCAATTATACAAGACAAAGGAACTTGTGTATCTGAAGACTGTTTAGCCTTTCTTCAGTCAGCTTGGATGAGTCTAATATGAGGCAAGTCTGAAAGAACGGAGGCTACTTACGCTACTTTACAAATGGTGTAAAGAGTGACTTTGGAATCTATCCAGACTTCCTCCTAAAATAAAAATTTAAACAGCTGTGTTTTAGAAATGGTTATACACAATTCACTTGAGATGAGACCATGTCGATGTTTGAGATCCCCTTAGTCCTTGATGCTGCAATAGTTCTATTTGTATTTTAGGAGAAACACTTGCAAATTTTGGGAAAACCGCCTTGTTACAATATGCTTGTTGATCGAACAACTTGAGAATTCTGATGGTGATATTCCTAGATTAGAAAGTCTACAACTCAGAGAAATAAAAGAATCAGAAAATCCTATCCTAGGTTAAGTTCCATTTTTTAAAAAAAGAATAAATAGGAGCCTGACAACGACCTTTAATGCTTTTAGCTTTGGGGAATTAAATATACATGTTTTATTGGCAGCAGAAAAATTTAAAGTATGTGTCGTTTTTAGTAGAAAATATTTCATGATTTGAAAAAGGGAAATTGGAGGCTAACCCTCTAGCACAGTGGTTAAATGATGTGCATTAGAAGCTGGGTCCCACAAAGTCAACTATAGTTTGAATCCTGGCCCTGGAGCTTCAAAAACCCAGGAGTATACATGTGTGCCCAAAGTCCCAGCAGGACAGAGAAATAGGGGAAAAGGGATTGCAGCCTGACCATGCCCCACTGGGAATGCTTTCTTGCTCTCTCTTTCCTTCACTCCTGCTCTGGTAAGTACATTTACCTTCTTGCAATTTAAAAAATAATAATAATTTAGAAAGTAAAAGAGGAAACCATTCTCATTTCCCAGCTAACAGCAATATACCTGTACTTCAAAAAGTTTGTGGAAAGAGTCAAGCAAGTAATGTAGGGGTTAAAGTGCTGGATTCCCACATGGCCAACCATAGTTCAAGTCCCAGACCCAATTGCTTGAAAATTACGCAAAGTGTGTGTGCATGTATGCCCCAAATCCCACCAGGAGAATGGTGGAGAAGGGATTGCAGCATGGCCATCCCCTCTAGGAGGTGATTTCTCACTTTCCTTCTCTCTGTCTCTCTCTAACTCTGGAGAGTGCATGTGCAGTATGAAAAAAAATTGTAGAAAATGGAATTAAAGTATGTATTAGGGTGCAAAAAAATTTTGAAATCTATGCATCATTTTTTTTTTCATATTTAGCATTTTCTATGGACTCTTGGAATACCCCTCATATATATAGTCTTTCAACACATCTTTGTGGATTTCTTAGGCTACAAAAAAGGCTTTGTATTCTACTATGTTGGAAGAATGACTTTCAAGATATAGTGAAATTGAAGGCTAAGATATAGATCAGGCACTATTGGAGTTATATTTGGAAGTAGCAGTACCCTAAACTTTAAATGAATTATTTACTCTCTTAGCATATGAGACTGACAGTATGTCTAAGCCATTTTTGATTATGCTCCACCATTAAAGTGTGAAAGGCTGTATTTATTGCGTTGGCTTTACTTCAACATTTACTTTATAAATTTGTAAGGCTGCCAGTTTAATTTAATGTTGATTTTTAAAAAATTTCTTCTTGCTGCACATCGGAAAACTATAAGAGTAGAATATACCTTCATTACATAATGTTAATACAGTTTTTCTAAAGGAAAACTGTTACCTATGCACTACATCTGTTGGGTATTAACTTTTAAGAGATGGAAAAATAAAGAAAATAATTTATTCTAAAAAAAAAAAAGAGATCCACATTATTTGAATTACTCCAAGATTCTTATGTTTTGGTCTTTTATGAGATCAAAGGGCTACAGATTATCAGCACTAGAAAGATACGAAGTCTTCCTTCTTCTTGATCATTATCCCTGTTACAGCACTACATTTAAGAACTAGAAACGTGCGTTTTAGTCTACCACTGTAGTTTATAGTTCAACCTCAAGTTATATTTGTACATATCCTTCA